GTGGGCTCCCCTGCTAGACAACCACTCCCACTGGGGAGTGTGAGTTGGGATGGGGGCAGAGCAGACTAGGTAGGGCTTCAATACTTGTGTGGCTCATGTGAGCTAGATCAGGGAAAAGCCACGTTAGGCTGACTGTTCCAATTGGTGCAAGCAAAAATTAGAGTGGGTGAGGCTTGGTTGGCCTTTACTGCAGTATCAGATGGCAGAGGTACTGGGGACTAAATCTGTCAAGTTAAACACTAGAACCACCTGGAGAGTGCATAATCTGGGAGTGGGAGTGGCCTAGTAGGGAAATAGTGAGCACCTCCCTCTTGGGTTATCACTCCCATTGGAGAGTATGAAAACACAGGGGCAGGCATGGCTAGACAGAAAGTCACCTGCCAGTATGTGTATGGGTTGGATAGTAGGATTGATTGGGTTGAACTAGGCTTCAGTGCCCATTGACATGTAGGAGAGTTAAATGGAATGTGAGACAGACTGAACAAGTCTGCGGTACATACTGGCATGCATGGAACCAGGGTAGGGGGCAGGCCTGGTAGGGGTTATGGGGAGTCACCCCAACTAGGCTGCAGCTCCCACTGGTTTGCATGAGGATCAGGCTGCCCTGTAACACTCATGGGATCATGTGAATGACAGAGTTGGAAACAGAACTGACCCAGCAATTGCAACCACCAGCATGTGCATAAGCTGATTGGGGTGACAGACTGTGTCAGACCCTGTATTGGCAAACACACACAAGATTCAGGTCTGGGATCACCTCAAACGATGTTTCTTTGGCAATCCCTCCAACTGAACTGCTGATCTCAGAACCCCAACCATGAAAGAGACTATGTCAGCCAGTAGATTCTGAATAGATTTCATCATGCTTGGAGCGGCAAGATTGGCAGCAATTCAGAATTGTTGAACTATCAAAACTGCTTGAGCAGGACCCTCGGAGCGTGCCTCACATCAGGGACCTGGGATGGGTGGGAGGCTGGGTGGAGCTTCTCCCTTTGTTTCTCTCCTGACCCCAGATATGGGGTGGCGGGGGAAATGATGATATTAGTGTGGGAACGATGGTCTTACCCACTTTCCTGTAGCCCTTGACCCTTGGTATCCTATTCAACTAAGTAAGACTATATAAAAAAAATCAACTTAGTTACAAAAATAAAATAAAATAAAATGCATGTGCAGAAAAGTCTATAGAAAATAAAATTTGCAGTATATTTTCATGCAAAATATTTTTGAAATCCAGGCATATCAGAGTTCTACTCATCATACATATGTCCAATAAAAAATGTGCATAGAGCTAGAAACTTTTTCATCACATACACAAAAAAAGGACTGTGACCTATTGGTTGGAAAATTTTTGATGAGAAACAGCATGAGGCACTAAAACTCTTTTCTGTGGCCAGTTCCTGGACCTGCAGCCATCACGTGGCTGATGATCTTATGTTTCAAGTGGACTTACCTGCTGTTAGTTAAATATCTCAGGTCACTCCTGGGAACAGGCTCAGAGCTGAGCTTTTGGGGGGAGGCGTGGGCGGTTTTTGTTCACCAGACCCAGAAGTGTGTGTCCCACAGACCAAAAGGAGCCTCTGCTGGATTCTCAGTCACCAGCAAACTCCCTGTGGATCACATGGGGCTGCAGCCTACAGAGCTGGTGCCACTCTGACCAACCATGCCCTCTTTGGCACTAAAACTTGGTTGTCTTGACTTTGCCAAGCCAGCCTCTCATCATTTCTATTTAAATCAGGGAGCTCCTTTCAACCGTACTTTCCACAGGTTCCCTGGCCAAGACATTGGTGCTTCCTTCATCTGTGATTCTTCCTCAGGGGACAGAGTTAGAAGAGAGATAAGTTTTCTCTGTTGAAAGTTCATGACCTGTCCTCCACCTTGATTCTTTTCAGATTCTTTGTTGGATATATGACAGGAAATTTCTTCTCACACTTATGTATTTTTTCATAATGTGTTTATTCTATTTTGTTTTGTTTTAAAGGCAGACAGAAATGGGCAGAGGGAAGTTCTTCCACCAACTGGTTTATCTCTCATATGCTAATTCTGGACCATGCCAATGCCAGGAGCCTGGTTCTACTCCTTGGTCACAGGGACACAAGCACTTGAGCCATCACCTGCAGAATTCCTAGGGTCTGCGTTACCTTGAAGCTGAAATCAGAAGCAGAGCCAGGACTCCTTCCACGTGCTCTGAATGGGGTGTGGCCATCCCAAACATCTTCACCGTTTCACCGAATGCCTGCTCCTTCTCCTCTTCATACAGCCAAGTCCAGCAGTCAGCCAATGTAGCTTTTACTTTTAAAGACTTACGTGTTTACGGAGACAGAGAGTGCTTTCATCTGCTGGATGCCCACAGCAGTCTGGGCTAGGCCAAGTTGAAGCTAGGAGCTCCACCTGAGTCTTTGATGTGGGTGAGGGAATCAAGCATTTGAGTGCTCGAGCTTCCCAGGAGTGTTAGTGGGGAGCTGAACTGGAAGTGTAGAGGCCAGGACTCACACCAGCACTGTAATACGGGATGTGGGCACCCAAGCAGTGCATTAATCCACTGCAGCACAGCACTCACCGCAGAGTCCCAACAAAGCACACTCAAGAAACTTAGCATTATGCATAATACCCTTCAACTTAAATTAGCAACAACTGGGTATTCTTTCTCTTGCCTACGCAATAGGCCTCTCAGCGTGTGCTTAGATCTGATTCACGTATTGAATGTGGGAATGGGGGTCGGCACAATGGCTCAATTGGCTAATCCTCCACCTGCAAGAGCTGGCACCCCATATGAGCACCATTTCATGTTCTGGATGCTCCACTCCCTATTCAGCTCCCTTCTTATGGCCTGGGAAAGCAGCAGAGTACAGCCTTTACACCCACATTGGAGACCCAGAGGAAGCTCCTGGCTTTAGATTGACTGAGCTTTTGCTGTTGTAGCCATTTGATGAGTGAACCAGTAGATGGAAGATCTTTATATCCCTCTGTAAATCTGTCTTTCCAATAAAAAGAAATACATGATAAGAAAAGTGGGAATTGTTGGAGGAGGGTTCAGAAGGGAGATTGGCTTCCCTTCTCAAGAAGGTACCTTAGGTAAGGTTGGAATGGGCCTTCAGACATGTCAGGGAGAGACTGCCAAGGGGCGGGACAGGGGCTGAGCTACCAAGATTCATCCAAATCACCCTGTATAGTCCCCTTTCTATTCCCAGATTCTCATTTTTCCTGATAAGTATCTTTCACACACACAATCTGGTGAGGCTGATCATTCAGCTCGAGTCTGTAATTTGAGGACACGAAGCTGAGATGTTGAGTTTGGTTTTCAGTTATTTAAGCCATGTGGTTCCATTAATAGATTCTTTTTAATCCTACCATAGAAAGAATAGTTAAAAAAAAAAAACATTCTTGAGTTGAGCATTTAGGACTATGTGTGTCATTGTTTTTCTTTAAATGGTCCAGTTTAAATGAATGCTTTTAGGAAAGACTCATTCATTTTAAAGACACAGAAGTAATGACTGACTCATACAGAGCGAGAGCTCCCATCTGCTGCCTCACTGCTCGAATGTCTGCAATGGCTGGGCTGGGAAAGGGGAAAAGGGGAACTGGAACTCCACCTGGGTCTCCCAGATCGGTGCCGGGGGCCTAAGCGCTTGAAGTTTGACCTGCTGTTCTCCTAGGTGTCTTTACAGGAAGCAGAATGAGCAGTGGAGGCAGAACTCGATCCAAGCACTCCAACATAGGATGTGGGCATCCCCATCAATGACTTAACCTGCCCTACCTCAATACTTGGCCCTAGCATTGTTGGCCTTGGGTAAGAGGCTGTGTATTACTGTCTGAAAGTAAGCGAGAACCCTCCTATGGAAAGTGATCGACTGTTCCATCCCCCAGCCTAACGGAAACAGCAGGCAGAGGAAGTTCACAGGCAGCGGAGGTCCACCTCCTCTGGCCTATCCCAGCCCACCAGGTGGCCTGCAGGCTGTCCCAAGGTTGGGGAGAACCTTAAAAGAGCTGATAGCTGGGCATTAAGCCTTCGTTCTCATTTCCTCCTCCATCACGACTTGTTTTGCTTAGGAAAGGCAGCCCTGGGGAGAGCTCTCAGCCCCTCCCATGGCTGGGCATGGCAGCTCTCGGCACCCGCGTCTCCACGGCGGTCCCAGGGCGCATCACACAGGCGCTGGGGCCTCCCTGCGGGATGGCAGGGAGGTCGGGAATGCCTCCTCTCTACAGCCTGGAGGCGAGCAGGGAATTCTAGCGTACCCGGAAACTGGGTTAACCAGCTCCATTCCTAGACAACTGCGAGGAGGTTGTCTAAACGGGGAGGGGCAAGACAGGGTGCCCAGCAGCCGGCCCCACCCCTGTACCTCGCTCGGAGCTAAGAAGCTGCCATCAATGATCGTACTGGGATGGATGTCGGGAAATACAAATGAGAATGAAGCTACTGCATTTCTTAGAGAAGACGACCGACTCACACTTAATATTAACGGCCTCAAAAATACCCACAAGTACAAAATTGTTACTATAGGCGTGTCCCGGGCGTAGGAAGCCGTGCCAAAGGGCCTCCGTGCACTCTTGGGGTGGGGGGTTCTCCTGGGCCGAGCAGTCCTCTCCTGTGGCGGGTTCCCCCTTGCAGCTGTGGCTCAGGCTGGCTCTCCGTCCCTGCCCAGGGCAGGTCCCCGGCAGCCGCGCTGAGCTGTGCAGGCAGGGCGCTGTCGGGCGCGCGGAGGAGCCGGGGCAGGGACGAGCTCCGGCGGGAGGCAGCGCGATCCAGGCCGCGGAGGGGAGGCGAGCTGGGCCCAGCCTGACGCAGCGGCAGCGGCGGGGCAGGCCACAGGCGGCGCATCCCGCCACGGCCCCGGCCAGTCCTCTGCCTCCTCTTGCAGCGGCTCGGCGAATCTGGCCGCGAGTGCGTCTCGCTCCCGCCGGGGGTCGCCAGCTCCGGGTTGCCACAGCCGGCCGGCGGGTGCTGAGGGAGGCGCCCGAGCACGCCACCCCTGAAGGAGGCGGGGAAAGGAGCCCGCGAGGCGGAGGCGAGGGAGGGCCCCGCCCGCCGCGCCCTGGCTGCCAGGCATGTGTGGCCGCAGGCACCGGTGGACGAGGGGCTGAGCCGCGCCCGGTGTCCAGGGACAGCCGAGTGTTGGGTGTCCTCTCAGGCGAGCGCCGCCGGCCCTCGGCCTCCCGCTCGCTGCTTCCCCGGGCCGCGGTGCATGTTCGCTTCCTGTCACTGTGTGCCGGGAGGTAGGAGGACCATGAAAATGATCCACTTTCGGAGCTCCAGCGTCAAATCGCTCAGCCAGGAGATGAAATGCACCATCCGGCTGCTGGACGATTCCGAGATATCCTGCCACATCCAGGTGGGGCCGGCGCCGAGCGAGGATGTGTGTGTGGGGCGCTGGGCGCGCGGAGCGGGAGGCTGGGTGGGTTTTGCAAGTGGGCTTGTGCGGGTGGGGAAGCCAGGGAGGAGCCGGCTATTAAGGCCGGATTGGGCTTCTTCTGCCCTCTGAGGACTGAGGGTCCTAGACAGGTAGGTGGGGGGCTGTCCCCCGCAGGTGCCAGGCATGCGTTATCCCCGTCCGGCCCGTTCCCCTGGCACGACCCTGCGTGCACGTCTGGGTGCCCGGGCTGGTAACTCCGGGCAGGTGCTTCCAGTGATTCCCTGGCTCCTACTCTGCCAGGAAGTGGGAATCCTGAGAGCTCAGAGGGGCCACTTGCTTGTGGCCCGCTGCCTTCCTTTCCGCCCTTCCTACACGTGGAGAAGGCACGCACCAGCCAGGCTCGCTCGTGTTTCTTTCGCCCAGGGTACCGTGAGTGCAGGAACCTGCTTCTGGCCCGGCCACTAGCCTGCCGCTGGCCTTCACCTGTTAAAGTTTTCCCCAGAGTGAGCGAGGCCTGGAAGCTCTGGGTGCCAGGCTTTTAAGGAACGGGCACGCTGTGCTTGAATTGTATCTCCAAAAGAACGGGTGAAGTGTGTTCCATGGAAGCCAAAAGGCTCGTGAGAGCAGCAAGTGGCAAGCTTGTGGGAAACAGGGGCCTGAGAAGAGGCACTCCTTAGACTCTTGGTGAACATTGAGTTGTTGCCCCGATTGGAGGAGAAGGCAGATTGTTTGGGTAGTACACACCTTTGGGTGTGCAGAAATCCTGTGTGTGTGTATGTGTGTGTAGACAGGTGTGTCCATCTCTCCCATTACCCCAAAGGTGCCCCACTTGGAGTGCCATGCCTGGAGAGGTGATGTCAGGGCAAAGCACCAGTAACTTGTGACATTCACATCTATTTAATTGATCTTGGGGACTTCCACTTCACACCTATCCCAGTCTTGAGGCTCCGGGACTAACCTGCTTTTCAAATACAGGGCATCACAGCCTCCAGGTGGGAGATGAAAGGGACAGCATCTCCCAGTGGCAGCAAACTGCCTCTAGACTTGGTTAACCAGGAATAAACTGAGGAGTTTTCCTTGGTTGTTTTTCTTTTATCTTTTTGGTGTGTTTTTCTTTTATCTTTTTGTAATCTATGTGTTTTGTTAGTGGGAGTTTGTGGCACAGGGATAGTGGCGGTTAATGTGTAGGTGGACAGCTGGGCAAGTTTCAAGGTGGACTTGTGCAGCCCTGTGGTCTCCCAGCAGAGCAGGCTCCTGCTGAATTTTCTGGATCATCTTGAATTTCATTCTGATAGTCCCTGATAGACTTAATTGGAGGATTAGCAGGAGAAGTAGGGTCTGTAGTGCCAGGAGGGTTACCTAGAAGGGCTGGGCACGGAGTGCCTAATGTGTCCACAGAGGGTGGTGTGTGTAGTTTACTGTTAGTCCTGGTGGGTGTCTGGGTCCTTAGGTTCATGATGAACGTGTCAATATTGGAGAGACCCAGAGCTGGCATTGAGGATACCGAGGTGGGTCTGGCAGCCTCTGCCTGCCTGGTCCTCCTTGGAATTGACAGTTTGTTCTTTCCTCTCCTGGGGCTAAGTCTTCCTTAGAATAGATATGTAGTCCCTTTCAAAGGACATGGATTGGTTGTCTGGTGTTCTGGGAAACAATAAATTACAGCCAGCCTAATAACAAACAGCTTGGAAAGTTTGAACTTTTATGGCTCAGTGGATGCCAGAGGTTGAAATGTTATGTTCAAAATGTTGATTTTGGCATCAGTTAAAAAAAGCCAACGAAATAAAACCCCAAATGTTTCATTTTGTGGCACACCCTTCTCTGTCCTTGCTAAATCCAAACGGTGATTATCATCTAATGACTTAAAATATGAATGGAAGGATTGTGTTTGGATAATTTTGGACCTCATTCCTTGCTAGAGTATTATAAAATAGGAATTGAATTGGCATGTCCAGGTGTTAGGCTACACACACACACACACACACACACACACACACACTTTCTCATTTGTACGGAGAACAAAAGGATTTAAAGAACAAAAAAGAACGGTTGGGAGTCACCCACATGCTTTCTGGGAGAATTCACTCCTGATTTCTCCCCCTCCCAGGGAATCCCACCTTTAAGGGATTGTGCGGATTGTCCCAGGGAGCCGCAGGTGCGTCTGCTTCTGCAGCCCATGTCTACTGGCCTGAGTTGGGAGTCCTCAGCTGGGTGCCTGCCCCACTCTGGAGCCTCTAGGGAGTCCTCAGCTGGGTGCCTGCCCCACTCTGGAGCCTCTAGGGAGTCCTCAGCTGGGTGCCTGCCCTACTCTGGAGCCTCTAGGGAGTCCCAGGGGACTCTTGAAGATGAATGCACCTAGGTTGGATGAGTGCTGCCTGCAGAGTCCAGAGGAAGTGGGGAGGCTAGGCCAGTGTGCCCTCAGGATGCTTGCTGATGACATTCCCTGCCAGTGAGCATCGCAGGTTGAAAGAACCCTGAGGTGCTTGTGTGGCTTCTGTTGGCAGCACGCTGGAGGGTGGCTGCAAGTGGTCACTGCTAGGAATGAGAGAAAACTTTACAAGTGTTATGGGGGACCGTGTGAACATCTCCAGGTGCCATTTCTCTAGCATTTTTCATATGCCAGCCCTTGAGACCTATTACATATAATCTTTGCCGTACTCTTTTTAGGGAGCTGATATTGTCGTTTTATAAATAAATAAGCCCGAGATCCATAGAGTTTAGGTGATTTGGCCAAGGTCACATACAGAAAAGTGTTTGAGCAGCTCGAGTTAAAACGCACAGCTGTTAGGATGCATAGCTCACGCCTGTCTGTCTTGGACATGCTACTCTGTTGTTAAAGTAGCTGACTTTCATGGAATTTCCAGACACCAAAGGAGAAAAAAATCTAAGGTGTGGAGTCTGAACCATGGCTGGGGGCCAGCTGGGAATCCCTGCCTGAGCCAGAGTCTGGCAGGCAAACTGGTGACACAAAGCTGATTAAAATGCCACACTTCAAAGGCCACTGGAGACCATTTCCACCCTCAGGACACCCTGTGTTGCTTTAAGGGAGATGATACTGTAAATGCTCAGCTAGATTTTGCACATCATACTCTTGCATTTCAAATGGTACATCCCAGATAATCCCTGAGAGTTAGGAGATGAGGTCTGAACCAAGCTAGAGGTGGATGGGGTTTGCCTGCTGCGTTTCAGGGTGTCATGATGAGGGCTGCACGAGGAGGTTGCATTTATCTCCAGTGTACCTTGCACAAGGCAGGGAAGGCAGGTTACTCTTATCTTTTTGTGGTTGTTTTTTGACTGGGATCTTGGCATCTACCATAGCATTGGTTATAGGAAGCCGCTTTTGTAAGCCATCAGCTTTCACATCTGTTTCTTTTCTAATTTAAATAATCATGGTGTCTTGTTTTTGCAAATAAAACTTCCAGACACAGAATTCAAGGACCTTCTTTTAGGCAGCTACATGACCAGTTACAGTAGGCAATGGGGAAGTTGCTGGCTGCCTCTTTTCACATGGTTTAGCACGCCGTCCGTCATAACATTTATGTGTGGGTGTTTAGGTTGGGTGGAAGAGGAACTCCAAATAGATGAGGGGAATAAAAAGGAGTCCAGGTTACCAGACAGAGGCCTGAGGGAGCAACGGAGTTGCTGAGTACTCCACCTTGGGCTGTTGCAGTTGAATCATCCTCAAAGTGTGGTATTGTAGGTGACTGTGGCTGAGGGAATCAATCGCTCTTGATTGAGACTTACTGCTTCAGCTACAGTGGAGACCAGCCATCTTTCCCCCCAGTGGTCAGAGCTAGCGTGAGTATTTGCAAGTCTTCCTAATGAACTCGCCATGTTTAACACTAACTTTTATTGAGTAGAATAGAACAGACTTTTAAAAGTCTGTTTATTTATTTTTGTTTAAATTATTTATTTATTCATTTTTGTTTAAATTATTTATTTATTTATTTATTTTTGTTGAAAGGCAGATATACAGAGAGGAGGAGAGACAGAGAGAAAGAGCATCCATCCATTGATTCACTACCCAAGCAGCCACAATGGCTGGTGCTGAGCTGATCTGAAGCCGGGAGCCTGGAGCTTCATTTGGGTCTCCCATGTGTGGGCAGGAACCCAAGACTTTGGGCTGTCCTGGATTGCCTTCTCAGGCCACAAGCAGGGACCTGGGTGGGAAGTGGGGCTGCCGGGATCAGAACCAGCACCCACATGGGATCCTGGCGTATGCAAGGCAAGGACTTTAGCCACTTGGCTACTGTACTGGGCATGCCTTATTCATTTTTTAGCAAAGCCTAGTAAACATTTAGAATAGGCTGAAACGTTGTTTTTGTACTTGAATAGACATATTATAGCATATAATAGGCACTCAGTAAATAGAAGAATGCTTTGTAGGAAATAGAATTATGATGAGCCCATTTTGGTGCAATGCATTCTTTGAAATCCTTGCATGGTTTTTCATAATGCGAATTTTCCATGTACTTCTTCAAGGCTCCACAGGCAAGGATTTTATTTATTTTTTAATACTCATATGAGCATATCTTTTGATTTTATTTTCCATAAACTTTTAGAAATTAATTTGAGTAGATACAGGTTAGGTAATTTAGTTTCTAAACTTTTAAATGCATGAGGTTAGGAGCATTTTGTCATTACTGATGTTGCAAATTGTTGAATCCCTAATATTTATAATAGTATCTGGTGTCTAGTACGTGTTGATGAAACACTGAATGAATGAGTGCTAATCTGCCCTGTATTTAATTTTGTTCATTACCTATCAGCATCAGGGTGGCATGACAGCATTGGATTGGGAATCAGATATGTGGTTTAATTATGTTGCCAAAGGATTGTCTCTCATTGAGTGAGTCATTTGATATTTGTAGTTAATTTTCTTTATTTGTAACATAAAGGCGTTGGCTTAGAGTGATGGCCACCCTTTCAAAAGTCTGTGGTTTAATTATTGCCTAGGCACATTGCATTTGGGCAGAACATTA